GGGTCCACTGCCCAGGGCCTATGGCTCTATAATAACCCCTTTACATCACAGCTGGACTCCTATCTAGCTCTAAAGACATTTTAGGGATTATTAAATCAAAAAGGATGCCTCATAAATGAGATATTTTAGTTTTCTTCTTCACAAGGAGGATAATCTGCAGAGTCTACAGTATTGAAACAAACTGACATACACGTTCACTGTGATTTTACTTGTAAAGATGAAAATAAAAAAAATAAATGAATGGACATTATAAAAAGTAAGCATATGGTTTAGCTGGGTTTACAGCAGGAATATCTACTTTATACAGTCAACAAATTCTTACCGAATGTGTTCCTGCCAAGGTTCCTGCTGCCAAAAATCCAAAAAATTCTTCATGTAGTAATTGCTATGCAGAAAAAAAGCAAAAATGCTCTCCTGCTAGATTATGTCTAAATCAATGCTTCAGGAACAAGGTCATAAGAATCGTGCTTGTGTCCAGATGATATAAGCATGTGCCTCAACCCATTGACAGATTACACATACAGTTTGATGAATATTAAATAAATGCCCTCAAACTATGTTAAGGCCACAGAAAAAAAATATGCAGAGTAGACAATCTCAAAGTGACTCACAGAAGGCATGACCAAAAGAAGTTATCCCTGGATACTCCATGTCTGATCAGATTTGTTGTTGTTTTTTTGTTTGTTTTGTTTTTTTTTATTTCCTCCTCACTGAATAAATCTGAATATGATTGGTATCTCCATATTTAACTCTGGCATAGTTTGGTAACAAAAGTATGGTTTAATATGATATATTTAAAAAATATATTACAATGACGCTCAGACAGATTGGATTATATATGCTGAATTATGTTAATATAAATGTAGTAGTAAACACATACTAAATGTACAAGCCCCAGAGTACTTAATGCAGCTGAGCTGAACACCATGCATTTATCTAAAACCAGCAATAAGTTAAATAAACGTAGTGCTCTATAACATGTCTATATGATTGGAATTTTGGATAAGAGCAAAAAAACAAACAGAAAACCCTGAAAAATATGCTATGTGTCTTTTTTGTTCTCACAAAGAACACAGTCAGTGTTTAATACAGTAACAGATCCTAAAACTTAGTTTTGATCTACTGACTTTACAACTCTATAATGACTTCTTAAATAGACACACTTACAACTTGTCCAAGTCACTTTTTTGGTTAAAATAAAAAGAAATAAAAATAAATGAAAAAGTATCATGCTGACAGGTTAAAACCATCTAATTTTAAAATCAAAGTCCTCCAAAAATCTATACATAAATTAAGCATTTAACCAAAAAATTACATTAAATTAATACATTAAATTAATTAAACAACAAAAAATGTGTAGAATTTAATCCAAACTTCAGCTTAGTCAATAGAGTTTAACATATTTCAAGATCTTGCCATGACCTAGCTGTAATGTTAAGAAAAGTAAGGAAATGGTGACCTCTTGTGAAATTCCAGTGTGAAACTGCAACTGTTCTAAATAATATATACTCTGTAGACACATGCATTTGTAACCTCTATGTTTTTCTGTTGGTAGCGGGCTTCCTGTTCATGTTTACATTCATAGCATCAACCAGCTATGCTGTTAAACACTAAACCTTCCCTTGACAGTGGCTATCAAGAAAAGGTCCAGGGTTCCTGGGGTTATGATCACTCAGACTGTGGAGCAACTGCCACCAGGGAAATCGACCCCCGACTTTACCCGCAAACCAATTGCTGTGACTGTCCAAGAAGGTAGAAAAACAACCATAGCCAGTGAAACTGACAATAACCATAGAGCATAATTATTAACACCTGCATCACTGTCATGATTTGATTATTTCAGGTAAAAAAACCTTTTTCAAAGCTATGGTTAGTGGAGAGCCAGCACCAACTGTGACATGGGGGCGTAATAAAGGTGAAATAGATGACCCAGAAAAGTACAAGACTAGATATGATGAAAGAGCTCGAGAACACATTCTTGAGGTAAGAACAAAATAAAAGGATTGGGCTAATGATAATTTGCCAACTTTAATTTTTCAAGCTAAACATTTTTGAAGTCATGAAATTCTTTTTTGAATATTCATTAACAATTAAAACAACAGTTGTAACAAAGTGTACAATATGCATTTACTTTTAGATTGAGGTAAACTTGTAGTAATTGTAGGTGTCACGGGCCTGCAGCTGCAGACTGTGTGGCGAGAGGATAAGGACCCAAACGTGGACACTTGAAAACATGAGTGGGTTTAAACAAAAGGGGAGCCTTTTATTTAGGCTGTATGAAAATACAAATAGAAGTCAAACGAAAACTTAACCAAGACTTAACTAATAAACTAAACTGAGCGAACTAAAGCTAAACACTAAACACAGGGATTACGGAAAATGAGACCTGGACATGGAAACCTGGAACATGGAGCGTGAAATGCAGGCAACCTGACAGGGTACAAAGAAAAAACAGAGGGTGATTAAGGAGAGTGGAAACAGAAACATGGCTGGGAAAAATAGACATAACGACACAGGGGAAGCAACACTAAACACACTGAACACGGGACGAGAGACTGTCAAAATAAAATAGGAAACACACTAGGATGCAGACTGAGACACACACTTGACACAGGAGGAAAGAACGCACATAGGAACCAGACGGACTGGGAAGATGAAGGGAGGAGACAACAAGAGGGAAACATGGAAGCGAGGAAGAGAGGGAGCGAGACCAAACACAGACACGACTGGAGAAACATACACAGAAGACATGACAGACTGATAATAAACTCGAACTTAAAACATCTTCATAATGCGATGGAAGAAATAAACGAGAGATAACCTCAAGCCTAAAATATCCTAATAAAGCAAAGGGTCATGAACCAAAAGGAAAACCCAAAAAGCTTGGTCATAGACCCCAAACCATGACATATGGTGCTAAAGCTCCATAACCAAGTTTAACTTTTTTTGGGAGATAGACTCAGATATTGATTCCACTGTTGTCAAATATTTACATATTTCACGTGAGAATCATTTTTTGTCAGATAATCAACATCAATCCAGACCAAGCAGACACTTACAAGTGCTTTGCCACCAATGAATACGGAAAAGCTGTCTGCACCACCACTCTCAATGTCATTGCAGGTGAGCTTTATAGTTAACAATAAAAACTGAGTTAAACAACTTTACAATATACCATGTCTGGTAATTAATGACTTCTTGTTCTATTGTTGTTTTCATGCATGTATGAAGCCGGCTTCAAGAAGAAGAGCCAGGGAGGTAAGAAAGCATACTTTAACATGAAGTGGTTTACTCTTTCTAATAGCGTCCAATCCACAAGTTTCTTTTTAAAATTACAGACTTTTAGCATATTTATTCTTTGCAAAATTTTACTTCTGTAGCAAGGATTTGTTTCTTTTTTATTGCAAAATAGTAAAATTTAAACAAAAAATTGACAGAGCCTTATAAGAATCCTTCACAATTAGATTTGGAAAAAAATACCACAAAGTGAAAAAAGTGTCCAGATGGCAGAATTTTATTTTAAATTTAAGTCAAAATGTCTTTCAGGAAGTCAGCAGGAACCACAGGATTTTAGATCAATGCTCAAGAAAACGTAAGTTCACATCAAAGTCAAATTATTCAAAATGTGTTCTGCGTGTTGTAATGGCCTCAAATGCCCTTTTTTAGTGTTGTTGTCACTAGGAAAAAGCAACTCCCACCACAGAAAGAGGGAGAAATTGATCCTAAACTCTGGGAACTGCTTATAAGTGCACCAAAGAAAGATTATGAAAAAATCTGCTTGGAATTTGGGGTTACTGACTTTCGGTGGATGTTGAAGAGATTGAACCAGATGAAGAAGGAAAGGGCAGACGAACAGGCAAAGGTACTGTATAAATTAACAGTTACACATGAATTCTGGGTTTTGTATCCTGAACCAACGTTACTGAGTTTAAACAAGGAAGAAGGTTGACTTGCATCTTGAGCTTTACTTTAAACCCTGGTAGTTCATCCTGCTAAAGTCTGCTTGGTTATTTTAAATGTTTCTGATTTAATTCCTTCCTTCCATTTTTTCAAAACGTGATTATTTAAGCAGTAAAGTTTAAAACAACACTTGCAGACACATACATTAGATAAAACTTGTTATCTTTCCTTTATAGGTTGTAGAGCAGCTGGAAAATGTGAAACAAATTGAAGTGAAACCAAACGGAAAAGCTGAATTTGGATTTGACATGCAGCTATGGGATCCCAATAGTGCAGTTAACTTATACAAGGTGAATTTAAAAGCATTCTAAAACAGCAAAAATAATAAGAATTTTTAATTAAACTTGCTAAATAATAATTTAATAATGAAAATAAATACATAAATAATAATGTTACTACTTCTGTCTCAAAAGGATGGCGTAATGGTTCCTTATGCAGATGATGAAAATTCAAAACATAGCCTTAGGAAAAAAGGAACAAATTATATATTTAGCATTAAAGACCCTCAGCCAGAAGATGCTGGATTTTACCAGGTTGATGTCGAAGAGGCAAATGTTCTTACAACTGACTTCAGAGGCAAGTAAAACTACTCTTAAAGTTTATAAAACAAATCAAGTACATTTATATTTTGGAAATGAGATTATCTTGGGTTTCAAAATCTACCTTTTTTCCTCTCTTAGTGCCTGCAGTGGAGTTTGTAGACAAGATTAAGGATGCTAAGGCTGTTGAAAGTGAGGACGCTGTATTTCAGTGCGTCTTGTCAACACCACTCAACAGAATTACTTGGTCAAGAGAAGACTCCTCACTTGAACATGGGGACAAATATGAGATCACTGTCTCAGAGGACAAACTAACTCACACATTAAGAGTAAAAGATTGTGAAATTGCAGATAAGGGAGCATATTATGCCATTGCTGGTATTGCTTCCAGCAGGGCCTCTCTCATGGTGGAAGGTGGGACATTTTTCTTTTTTGTACTCACAAAGTACAATAATAAATAAAAATGCAAATGGTGTAATACAAAGACAAATAGTCTTGACTGTTTGATAGTCATGATATTATTGAACCTGTTTTGCTCATCATTTACATTTTAGTCAAACCTTTTGACTGAAATAACTGTTCTCTCTATGTGTGTCAACTATAACTCAGAGGATCCACATGGTCGGAAAGGTCGCAAGGGAACCAAAACCATTGAACATGATAACCTGTCTAACCAAGGCTTGGACAAGGCAAAGATTTCAAAAGAGAAAGATGACTTGGAGGCAGTCAATCGAGCACTTGCTGAAAAGAAAGCTGCAAACACACTCGGAGATGCGAAAGATGGGGGTGATGGAAGAGATGGTTTAGGGGCTGGGGATGGTTCCAGTGGTAAAATTGGCGATGGTTCTGGTGACAGGGATGGTGATGGAACTGATGGAGATGATAAGAACCACTTAAGAAGCGAAGAAGATGATAAAGATACAAAAGATGATGCGAGTAAGAAGAAGCAATCACGAACTGGGCCTTTGGTTCCTGACACTGTCTTAGGTAAAACTCCATACAACATGGTTTAAAGACTGAATAATGTATGCTCAGATTACAGATTATTATAATGTCAAAGCTTTAGCTCAGCTATTCTCAAGGGTTAGTATCTGCAAATACTTGTAACTTGGCAATATCAGCCCATTTTCAATCAGTGTTTCAGGATGACTCCACTAAAGGTTCGATCAGATATAATGTTTGAGGCTTAAGTATCATTTCTATTCCAGAGGGAGAAAATGGACAAAAGTGAATGTGGTTCAATTTTTAGTGAAAGATAATCATCATACATATATCCCAATCACATCTGCTGTCCACAAGAAAGTGCATACTGTAATGATAAGGATTTTTAAATTAAAGTGTGCGCTTATGTGCTTTCAGTTTTATCTCTATTGTAATTTGCTACTGATGTGTCATTTTAAAAATAATCAAATCAATAATTTGTTATATAACGTGATTATTTTTTACATTTTCACATGTAGATCGAGGTGTTCAATTTGTCAGTGGGCTATCAGATACGAATGCCAATATTGGAGAACGGGTGGAGATGTCTTGCAAACTAAGCAGTGAGACGTCAGAGGGGCGCTGGTACAAAAATGGGAAACTGGTAAGTCAAAGGAGTAAAACAGGAGTGTAACAAATTGCCACAATTCACTGTATATGAAATTACTATAACTACGACTTTGTTGTTTTTCTACAAATAACTAACATTTTATATAGTTAATCACTTTTTTACTATTTATTTACTTATTTGTCTAGCTAACAAATGAAGATGGGGTAACAATTATCAAAGATGGAGCCTTTCACAGGCTGATAGTTGATTGCTGTAAAAAAGATGATGCAGCTGTGTACCGCTTTGAAGCTGAAGGACGTAAATCAGAAGCAACACTTAGTATTCAAGGTCAGAATAAAATGAGTAACATGGCTGTAGCACGGCAAAACATATCAAATAATTAGTGCTGTCAGTGTCAATCTCGTTAAAATGACGTTAACACCATAACCGCATTAACACGGCAAATCTCTGTTAGCGAGTTACCGCGGATCGCCCCATGTGTGGGGCTGCACAGTGTCAATGCGGTTATGGCGTTGACGACATTTTAACAAGATTAACACTGACAGCACTACAAATAATATAATAACACTTTTTTTAAAAAGTTCTCAATGTTTAAATAAAACACTTTTTCCCATCTCTCCTATACTAAAGATCCACCAAAAATGGACCCTGATGCACTAGGAAATTTCACAAAGCCAGTCATTATAAAGGCAGGCGAAAATGCTGAATGGAAGCTGCCATTCTCAGGCCAAGCACCAATGACTATACAGTGGTACAAGAATGACGATGAGCTGCTGCCAGCCCTCAATGTGAAGATTGAAACGTCTGATTCTGAGAGTCAACTACGCCTTATTAAGTGTCAAAGAAAAGACAGTGGAGAGGTGAAAATCAAAATAAAAAATGAATTCGGTACAACAGAGGCAATATCCAAACTTATTGTACTGGGTGAGTTTTCCTCAGATATAATCTGGCAGTTTCTGTGATAACAGCCGAGGACATGTTAGACATAAACAGGCTGTGGAAAAATAACATTTTCTACTTGAGCGTGCAAGTGGTATACTGGCAAATGTTTCACAAAAAAGCCCTATGAATAAATAAACAAAGGCTTTTATCGCCACTGAAATGATAATGCTTTTAATTTTCCGGAGATGAATACAGCAATTAGAGGAGTATGTTTAGGAAATTATGACTTTGTAATAGCAAAAATTACAGACATTAGCTTAATTGTTACATATTATCTGGCATAATGACCTGTTCTAAGTTGGTTCTCTATTATATTTACAGTTTGTTTGCTTATGTTGTGCTTTATTTACTTTATAAATTAAGTAAATAAAGCGCAAATTATATTGTTCGTAGTGGTGTGAATAGTGAATAATTTAGTTGGTAGCTGGTTTGAGGCCCATCCCCATGCAAGAATGGAGATATTGCTTTAAGAGCAGAGCCTGTCTACAGAGAAACCTGTGCAATTATTCACTACAGTCTAATTACCATAATGCATGAATTCCAGCATGGCCAACAGAAGTGTACTGGATTGAGGCTTTCAACATGAAAATATCCATTTATTACCTTAAAAGACAGTCATAGAAATAAATCCCTGCTTGTAAAATCACCGTGCGTCAAATAAAGGCCTTAAGCAACTTAAGTACATTTTAAAAAATGCCCTGGTTGCTAGTTGAACAAAAACGGTATGGCAAAATGTAGAATGTGCAAAGATAAATGCCTCTGACGCATTTCTTGTCATGTTGTCAACAGACAAACCAACCCCTCCACAAGGGCCTGTGGACATTATGGAAAGTGCTGTGACATCTGTTGAATTCAAATGGAAACCACCAAAAGACAATGGCGGATGTCCGATCGCAAACTACATCATAGAGCGACAACAAGTAGGCCGAAATAAATGGACAAGTCTTGGTGAGATACCCGGCAACAGCCCAAGTTTCAAAGATTCAGATGTGGACCCCGGAAGGAGATACTGCTACCGGATCAGAGCAAAGACTGCAGAAGGTATCAGTGACTACCTGCAGACAGAGGACATACCAGCTGGTGTATTACGTAAGTTTTCAGTTAATGCCTTCTTCTTCATTACTTTTTCTTTGTTCAGTTTAGAAGGAAGTATTACAAGGCATGTCTTTTTAGTATCCAGGTGGAAACACTTTGTTTATTGCAGTAAAACCCTGAATAGCCGCTAATAAAATGTTTTGGGAGAAGTTAAAAGAAATCCATAAAGAATATATACAAAGCTATGTTAAATATATTAAAAACACTGTCTCTGAATTTATGTGTCTAATAAATACCCTTCCATTTACACATTCTTTAGTTTTCAGCCACCTGCTAATTATGGATGACGGAAATAATAAAAGTAATGTTGAGAAACATGGCATGGCAACATTGATTAATTAACTCACTTTCACTTTTCTGTGTCATATATCCCCCGCAGGTTATCCTGGACCACCAGCTGTACCCAAAGTGGTCAGTGCCTTTAAAGACTGCATTAATCTGGCATGGAGTCCTCCATGTGACACTGGAGGAACCAAAATAGTGGGATACAATTTGGAAAAGAACAAGAAAGGCACCAATTACTGGAGCCTTGTAAATCAAAAGGGGCCAATTACAGGTATACAACTTAAATGCTGAGGTGCAGGACATTTAGCTCAAGAGTAAAAATAAATGCTTGTGATGTACCTGCACACATCAGTGCAGATTTGTATTGATATAATTGCTCCGTCCGTTGTCTATAGATACAAAGTATGCAGTTAAAGACGTATTTGAAGGAGCAGCATATGAATTTCGAGTGTCAGCTGTCAACCTGTCTGGTGCTGGAGATCCCAGCATTCCATGTGACACAGTTATTGCAAGAGATCCAATGAGTAAGTTAATCACACAGACTTATGTTTTACTGTATTTGGGGGGATTTTTCAGTCATGAAAGTCATTCTTTAAAGTAAATATAATTCTCTCTGTCGTGTAATATAAAAGCTTCATTCTCACCTTACTGTTATTGCAGAACCCCCAGGCAAAGTCACAGACCTTAAATTAACATCTTCCAATTACACGACATTTTCGCTGGCTTGGACTAAACCTAAGGAAGTGCAAGGGGTAGAAGATGAAGCCCAAGGGTATTATGTGGAGATCAGACCAATAGAGAGCCTTGAATGGACCCGCTGTAATACCACCCCAATTACTCTAACATCCTACACTGTGCTTGGCCTTAAGGCAATGGCCACATACTGGGTGAGAGTAATTGCCACCAATTATGGAGGTGATGGAGAACCTCAGAGCTTTGATAATTATATCATTGCTATGCCTCCTCCTGGTAAGAAATGCAGTTTTTATAGTTTGGTTATTGGTTATTTCTAAAATGAGATATATTTATATTTATTTTTCACAAAATGCCAAAGAAAATATGCAGTTTTTCTTCTAATACAACACACCTACAGAGAGGAACAATTGTCTCGAAAAAGTTTACAGCTGTCAAAAAATAATGTTTGTGTGCTGTACACCCATTTAATATCTGTAGATATACGAGACGGCGGGTGAGAATTGTTGTGACAAGACAGGTTATGACTGAAAACACATCTGATAGGATTATAAAGCCCAGCAGGGACAAAAAAACTGCACTTCAAATGCATCATATCACCAAGCATAGCAATTTAAATCTGTAGTTCAAACTCAAAGAAGAATTGTAAAAGAAAAACTAATGAGTGCATTTAACATCTTATTAATTGTTAGTTTTATTCTCACTACTAGTACAGGTTTTCTGTGTAGCTGAATTATGACTAAAAAAAGGGAGGTCTAACAATGGAATTAAGGTTAATTATACCCTTTTTGTCAACTATACACAGAGCACGTCCTCATAATACAGTAGAGAGATTCAAAATATAGAACTCCCTCAGCAGCTTTATGAATTACAAATTTAATTGTATTGTATTCTAAATCTATCCCTCACAGTCAAACCAAAGTTTAAAGACCGCAACATGAAGACCTTTGTGGTGGTGAAATCTGGAAACACTGTTCGCCTCAACATCAACTTTGAGGTATTATTCCACAGGCTTTTACTCTGTTCACTGTGTGAGAATCTAATCAATGCTGTTAGTTAATATAGCAATATATTAATTTGACTCCTATGCTGTCATCTACAGGCATCTCCCATGCCTGAAATCTTTTGGTTAAAAGATGGTATTCCAGTACCAAAGCATGTAACCATTACCAACTCTGATAAAGGATCTCAACTCTTAATTCCTACATCTGAGAGGACGGACACTGGCATTTATACCATTACTGTCAAGAACATGGTTGGCCAGGAAAGCTTCAATGTTGAAATCAGAGTTACAGGTAACTGTCCAAGAGCCATAGTAATGGTTTGTCATTGTTAGGCTAAATAAGACCATATATTGTAGCCAAATTAGAGTAAAACTATGAAATCTACTTATCCTGTAAGTTGGCTGGATACAGTTGCATGGTAATTGCAGTACAGAATAATAACTTAATTTGGTGACTTGGATTCTATTTGTATTCATACTACCACGGAAACATATGTTTTAGCAAATACAATGTGATTAAAGTAGGAACAGAATACATGTATTTATAACTTAATGTACCACATAGGTTGTATACTTTAAGATCACATTAAAGGTATGCAACACTGTAGATAAGGGAATGCTTAAAGCCATAATCCTGTGACTGTAAGAAAATACTCCAGTCCAATTTTCTCTCTGCCTTTTACTTTGCCTATTTCAAGAAATCCCTTTTTCCCCAAGCTACGCTTATTGCTGCAGCTAGCTGTACCTGTGTTAGGAGTTTTACTTGAATGAAAATCTTTCTAATTCAAAGCGTATCCAGCAGAAGCTGTACAAAAATCTATTTCCTGTCCAAACCATCAAGGGTACAATTTAGACTGAAAATCAGTAACCTAGCCCTGCTATATCAGTAAACAGTATTTTAAAATCTCTAAATTTTTCTCCAGATGATCCTAAACCTCCAGGTCCAGTGGAGCTGGAACAGAACATCCCAGGAACAGTGACACTCTCCTGGACTCCCTCTCCAGATGAAAAAAGGGATGACAGGCTGCACTACATGGTATCAAAGAGGGACTCCTTCAAACGGACTTGGAGAACAGTGGCAGACAACCTCTTTAACAACAAATTCACAGTTGTCAACATTTTACCTGGACGGCAGTATCACTTCAGGGTGTTTGCTAAAAATGACATGGGCCTTTCTCCACATTCCGAGTCCCCTGCATTTGAAACCAAAAAGGAAAAAGGTGTTTCAAGTTTTATCATGAAAACAATACAAAACTTGCAATCATTTTGCAAACTGTCAAACTAAATCACTGTTCCTAAGCTAAGCTAGGTTCTCAAGAAAGTGATGATTTCTTTAAACAGTAAACTATTAGATTTCCCTGACGTTCATTCATTGTTAGACTGGGGTTTGAGCCACAAATGTATAAAAATATTAATCAGATTGTCAATTAAGAAACTAAATAAGCCCTTTTCTGTATTCAATACAAAATAGCAAAGAAAGAAACAGGGGTCTCTGAGTGAGCAAGAATAAAATATGCACAGGCAGCCAATAACAGACGGCAAAACTGACAGTAAGAAAGTGCATGATAGCTATAAATATGGACTCATCTGTGAGCTTAAATGTGTCTGCTCATTACCCATGGTTATTAAAGATAAATGCATAACACACTTTTATCACAACCTTTACTTCAATCTAAGAAATCAGATTTGAAATCAACATAATGTTTAAATTTCACTAATTAATACTAACCATCCCTTATCATAAGTGTCCCAGTCTCCCCTACTTAATTATTATTTTTGTTAAAATATAATTACTTTTTGTAATTCTTTGTTTCAGAAAAGTTCCAAGTAAACAGGCCAGAGATAAAACACCGGATCTTCGATTCTCCTCCCTCATTTATTGTTCCCCTGAAGAGGCGTACAGCCCCACAAGGTTATGAATGCTACATGAGCTGTGCCATTAAGGGTGATCCAGCTCCACGTGTTACGTGGTACTGGAACAATATCAGCCTCAACACAAACACCAACTACCACATCACAAATGTATGTGGAGTCTGCTCCTTGCTTATATTGAGAGTGGGACCCAAAGACAACGGGGAATACAAAGTTGCCATACAGAACAAACTGGGCACTGCGGAGTCATCAATGATGCTGAATGTCAGAGGTATTCACAAGGTTTAACAATCATAAAGTTTTTACTAATTTGATTGTCTGTTGTAACATTTGAGTTTGCAGTATGTAGATTAAATAACCTTAGAGCAATATTGCTTTTTTTGCAGAGTGAAGACAAGCCACAGCTCCTGGGAAGAAGCTGAACAAACACCTATGTGGAAATAATATAACCAATAAATAAAATGTAATGGAAAATGTGGTCATTTTTGTTTAAATGGTGGATGTTGCAAAAATAGTTTAAAAATTGCTCTTTTTTAAAATTCTGGAAAGGGATCCAAAGCATTTTGAAAGAAAGACAGTTTGAACATTTCAACACAAATGTGAAGTGCCATTGCTAGTATCTTAAGATTACATTTATTTATTTTCCACAAATCACAAAATATCCAGGTTAACTGTGTACTGCAACTAGTATGAATTATGATGAAACAGCTCTCTCTTGAGGTGAATGTGCAGTGTGACACCTGAATGCTACAATAACAGAGTTAAAGACAGTCACATCAGATGGCAGAGAGATGGAAAATTTCCAGGTACAGAAAACTATAAAAGACTGCATTTCCATCTTACTTCATATGTTTAAAATCAAAAGGCTTTAGTATTAATATATTAGTGTTTGAACTGCAGCAAAATGTTACAAGTCAAGCTCTTTCCTCTTTTATTGACCATGTAATGTGTAGTTTCAAACATTCCTCAAAATCATATTTTGTAGTAATTTAGTGGTAATGAAGCCATTTAGGCTTATGATTTATAGGTAGATCTATGTTTACAAATAGAAAAGATATCAGGGAAAACATATGTTGCTGTAGCTCAGGAGGTAGAGCAGGACATCTACTAATTGGAAGGTTGGTGGCATGCCAGATATCCTTGAGCAAGATCCTAATTCCAAGTTGATCTCTGATGCATCCATTGGAGTATGAATGTGTGTGAAGGTTAGAAAGAAAGCACTCAAGTAGAAAAAGCATAGGAAAAAAGTGTCTGTGTGAATGAGGCAATTTGTATAATGCACTTTGAGTGCTCCAGCAGAGTAAAAAAGTGCTATGAAGTGAATTTAGTTCACAGAAGACACCCAACTCTGGTTAATTCCCTTTGCTGTTTCTACTGTGAAGTAAAAAATCATACCGGCCGCAACAAGAAGCAGCTTCCTCCTGTTGGAGAAACTAGTGTGGTGAATGCTAGTGTTGGTCCTTTGTACCTTTACAGTCAGGCCTCTGAGAAGAGGGGTGTATATGTAACATCAGCACAATCTTAAGAAACTGTCTTTACAACAGCAATACCTCCAGCAGGTGATGGAGATCACAGAAGCACAAATTATCTAACTTTATCACCTCTAATCAACCGGACTCTTAATTAATATTAAGTACTTCTATAGTTACTTATTTCATTTAGCGCTATCCTTCGGAAGTTGCATTAAAACACACACACACGCACGTCATATATGCACGAGTTTAAAAACAAGGCACCAAGATATAAATAAAATAATGGAAGCATTGCAGTTTCACTTCATAGATAAACGTGTAACTGTTACGGCCCTAGCAAACTTGTCATGTGTTTTAGTGTGTCCCGTTTTCCTTCTCGCCTGACTTCGGTCGCCATCCAGTTCCCCCCCCGAGTAGCCAGTGCACAGCTGGGTTCACTCAGCAATTAGCCACCCAACAGTAAAAGATGTTGAAGAGCTGCTCACTGAGCAGCTTCAATGCTGTGGTGTGCTTGGGCGTCTGAGTCAGAACGCCAAGCCTGTAGAGGCCTAAGCTGCAGTGTTGCCAACTCCTCAGTAAGGAAAATCGCTATTGGTTGTCCTAAAAGTCGCTAAATGACGTCATCGCCTAATTTGCATAATTGATCATGCTAATCTAATTGCACCTATGTTGTTGGAGAGAGAAATAACATCGTGGAAGAGACATAAAGTGAGTAAAAAACGTCCTAAATGCATTTAGTTTATTTAGAACTACAAATTAAATTTATTTTAGCAATTATTGTTTTTTTTAATGTCACAATTCCAACCCTGGTCCTTTACCCGGGCTTGGACCGGCAAAAGTGACCCGAAAAAGGCACTCTGGTGGAGTTACTTTGTGTGTGTGTGTGTGTGTGTGTGTGTGTTTAAGTAGTTTTAAACCTTGTGATCCACAAAACAACATAACAGTAAAAGAAGAACTGACTGCGTTACAGCACCCGCTGCTTGTTGAGAGTAAGAGCGATACGTATTTTTTTTAGCGACTTTCTTTAGAAAAAAAGTCGCTAAGGGGTCTGAAAACTCACTAAATATAGCGACAACGTCGCTAAGTTGGCAACACTGCTAAGCTGAGGTGTGTCTTGACAGTATTTGGGTCTTCAAGCTACTAGACGGTAGCTAGTGCCTGTTTACAGGAGCAGTGTTTTTCTTTGCTTTGCAGTGTCCGTTCTTTTCAGCACATTTTAGTTTGTTGATACCTAATGACGGTTTGATGAAGCCCTGTGAATGTGTCCAATCTTGATGTTTCCATGTGCTTTTTATGTCTTTACTTATATTACTAAATAGACTTTAGTGAACAGGATTTACAAAGGGGTTATATTTCTGCTATCCTCTTGGTCCGATTTCTCTTTTAAAAAATACATTTTTAATGTCAATTAGACTTTGTAACTGGATAAATAAAGGATACATAAATGTCAGGTTCCCATATTGTGGGTTCTACCTTATGACAAGAATGTCATGTTTGTGGCTCAAGATGACTTGATATCATTCGTGAGGGATGCATTTAACATATGTTTCACATATTATAGGCCAACAAGTCAGTTATAGCAATTTAAAAACGGGAAATCACTTTACACAGTTCTCTCAGTGTCAAGTTCTTTTGTGAAAGGTACTGTTTTCTGCCAGCAGGTGGTGCCTGGTTACTGCCATATGATGATGAAGCATACTGAATAAAGGGGATATGGAGAAAACAAAACCTTTGTAACTAGAGGATATGTGCCGTTAATCTTTATTTATTCTTTTATTTTTGTAGCCAATTTACAAGTTACTGTTAAATGTATCAAGCACCCTATATGTTTTTATTATTACTTTTCCTTCCTTTACTACTGTACATTCAGATGTGTCTTCCGCTAGTTATTTAAACTGGTAGGTTTTCATTTATTTATTTATTTATTTATTTATTTATTTATTTATTTATTTTAATGTAAAAACCTTGGTTCCCTTTTGCTTAAAGGACTCTATAGTAAATCACATTTTAATTCACAAGGAAAAAATACTTCTTTGCCTTGAAATAAGTTTACTTCCTTTTGCATTACATACAACATCACATTTACAGAATTTACATTGCATCAAAGTTACACCATAATATACAAAACAAGCTTTTCTTAAAAAAAAGAGAATAATGTATATTCATTTTAAAATACTATTAATTTGACTTTTTATTGTATTTGTAATTTTTACTCTGGTTTGTTAATTCCTTTACACAATGTTGCTATAAATCCTTGTGTACACACACACACACACGCATGCACACGCACACACATTGCAGCCCGCCTACTCCCCTCTCCCACCACTTCGCCCCACTATCTCACACTTGTGCAATTGTTTCACTCTCTTCTGATATGCAATGTCTCACTATCACGTGAAGAAGACGCTTGGATTGTCTTTTAACCAAAGAAAAAACAAATCTGATTTTAATCTTACTGGATAAAAAAAAAAAATACATATCTCTCTACTTCTCTTTCGTTTAAGAAGAACATAAAAAAAAAAATTGGACATACTTCTGACGACAATACTGCTGCATGCAGTGGTTCCAGCTGCCCAGGAGCGATGTCATCTCTACCCTCTCACAACAAAGATCCGTCACGCATCAGAAAGCAGTTCTCTGACTCTTGTCCAGTTTCTTCTGTTGCCACTACTAAGAGCCTGCGGGTAAGGCCTGATTGTCTTTAATCTTTTAAGTGTTTGTTTAGTGGCAGGAAATGCCATAAAAGGAAAACATTAACTTTGAGGTTCGGTCATTGTCGAAGAAATGTGTTGAAAACAAGCCACAGATGTATTTCTGAGCATTAGAACACACATAACTCATCACTGCCTTCAATCCAATTCTATTTTTATTTTTTTTTGGTCTGTTTTGTTTTTTGGACATAATTGTGTGGCATTAGCTAATCATTTTGTATGATTTATGCAGTACAATTAGGAAAAATTAGGGAAGTAGAATTTCTCAAAATATGCTGGACTTCATGTGTCTTCAACGGTTTCTGCAACATGATTACAATGTTTTATTTTGGTAGTCCAGTTTGACATTCTATCACTGCAGAGGTGATTTTGTGGTAATTTAGTCCAATACAGCCCAAAGTGTTATATTTACCCAATAATGTGCTATTTTTACATTCTAAATAAATCGTGTGTTTTCCTTTAAGTTCGAATAGCTTATCTTTGGGATTACTTCTTTTATTGCATTCTAGGGTCTGTGGAGTTAGATTATTAGATACTTGTAATAAACCATGTGGAGAATGTGCAGTTTTATATTGTTCATTACTGTATATGGGGATAGTTCAAATGACCATAGTAACACATAAACTGATAAATAAAGCTACACGTTGATGTTCGTGAGCAAGGGAGCAGAAAACTTGAAGGAAATGTTGTAATGAGCAGTTAGTCTTATCTGTTTATGCAAACCAAGAACCTCTTGAGAAAAATATATGGTGTGACGCAGAGAAAAGTTTGTGAGAGAAAGGGCAACAGGAAGAAAGGAGGAGGAGGAGGCAAGAGAAAAATAGAGAGAAAGAGAGACAGAGCAGGGGGGATGAAAGACAGGATGAAGAGGAACAGAAGGAAAGAGGGACAGAGTGCTTGGAGGACTGACTTGTGGGAACCCAGTATTTATGGATGTTTATCTCTCTGCTAGTCCTAAGGGAAGCTCATATTTTCCATTTGGGAATAGCTGGTCATTAGACAAAAAGTCCCTCACAGAATCTGGGAAGGCTGGAGGACAGATTTCAGATGGAGTCAGTCCTTCATGAGACAAAGACACAAAAACTTTTTGATCAGCATCTGTTTCTGTGCGATACTGCTTAATATAAATCCGAGCTTTTTCCAGGTCTGAATACAGTATATTGTTCATTGTCCTTTACATAGCATGGCAGGGTTTGCAGACATGACTGGATGTCATCTCTTTAAAGGTCCCATAAATGTCTGAAGTGAAGCGTATCACTGTGTGTTTACACAATGTGCCTTCAACTTAAAACCCTGTCTCTTCTTTAGAGAATTTAGCTTACTTTATCAGTTTCACGTGACATGTAGCCTTCAGGCAAAGGATACATATCTGCTTTTTGGCTGAAGTTTATACTACAGTCTCTATGAAAGGTCTCTGAAAGAATAAAGATGCAGTGTAAACTGTAACTGTGTGGACTGTCTTATATTAACAAGTCAATTCTCTGTTTGAATTTTCTAAAAGACAAAATGCAGAAGTACAGGCAAAAAGCAAGATCATTACTTTTACAAGCTTTAAACAAATGTATTGTTTGCACTAAAAGAGTTACAGTAAGAGCTTTTCTTATGATGAATAAACAGAAAGCACACTTGAGGATTAAAAGGTGGGTTTAGAAAAGAAATGTGGCAAAGCTATTTTTGTCTACTGGAGGCTGTATTTTGCTTTCTTGCCTTTTAATCTATCACACAAAAGTGGGCAGCCATGCTAGTATCTTTACAAGGCTGTATTTAGGAACAGCGGTGCTTTCAGCTAAATGCTAATGTCACCACAGGACTTGGGCATATATTTTCTTTTGCTCTCTAAGGTTAGGATGTTTGTCCCATAACGTTTGCTAATCAAATGATAAAATCTTACCAGATTATACCTATTGCAGACAAATTTTTGAAGTATAACAATAACAAGTATCCAAGAAGTCCTCCAAGCACATAATAGTGTTGCTAATTTGTTCCTACTAATTTTAATAAAGAAATTCTTTATATGGATATCCATAATCTGTAGGCAAGGGACATAATGTTTGGTAGTGACAATGTTTCTGTTTATAGGCTGCTTGTAGTCTGAGTGCTATTGACCGATGATTTAGCAGGTTTGGGTGCATGCAAGTAAGCAGTCAGCATGGAGAGCAAAAGAAACAGCATTTGCAAACACATCCAACTGTTGAAACGAAGACTCCAGTCTGACCTTTTTCTAAAATAACTGTTTAGTTTTGCCTTGGCTCTCTGTTTATTTTTCATTTCCTCTTGCTATTTGGTTGAATTCAGACACAGAAACTAGTTGGTTAGCATTAGATAACAAGAGCAATCTGAGTTAAAATACACAAAAAAGCAGTAAACACATGTTAAAAAACAGCTTTATTTCCTATACTGGTGCTGAGTTACACTCACAGATTGTAGATAAAGCTGGATATGACATCATCTATAACTGGTCCTGCAGTGAAACTTCTAGCTGAGCATGTTTGCCACTGCTAGCTGTTTTGAAACCAAATTTCATGAGTGACATTAAACTGAAGGCGCTTGTAGGAAATGGAAATGGAGTGGAACTCATGTGGTGTTTTATAGTCTTACTGACCACTCAAAGTGCTTTGGACTACAAGGTACGAGCTTCGAGCATATATAATCTAAGTACTTTATCTACCTCATGTTTATGGCCAATTTAAAATGACCAGATAAACCACAAATACAAATCTTGAGAGAAAGCCTAAGTGTCAGTACAAAAACACATGCAGGCACGGGGAGAACATAACAACATGCTCCCCAGAGAAAGACCTACCTTATCAGACAAGATATGCCTATTCTAAACAATTCTCTATTTGAGCCTTAATTTTTGCAGTAATGGTAAACATATTTCAAGCAAGTGCTAGAGACTATTCAGGGGGCAGAAGAATGTTTGTTGAGCTCATGGATCAGAGGAGCCAGTGGATGTTTTCTATAGAGTCTGACTTCTATTTGCATCATAGGCACTGCCAGTTGCTGGCCACGAAAGAATAGAGGCTCAAGGGACTTTTACAATGGCTATAGTCTTCAGAAAAGAAAGCCAAGTCCATTGTTTAGATACAGTCTATAGTTTCACTACAGTTGAATGTGGCAGCACAAGTGTGCATCTTATTGTTGCTAGTGGTCTTAACTTTAAAATTTCAAATCACAAAAGGAAACAAACTTTGAAAAAATATGCTATGGCCTTCCCAGTCACTGGATCTCAACTGTCAACTCAGCAGAACTGGTGTGGAAGACTTTGTACCATATATATAGTCCTTATATTTCATACTTTATTATATTTACTAACCTTATAAGTTGATGTATTATCCTATATTTTGTCATCTCCTGAGGAAATTATTTCCTAAGTTAGAGGTAAGCAGTAGTCGGTGCAGTAGTTATTACCTTTTTTGGATGTGTTTTAGCTATCTGTGCTTGTCAGTTTATTTAAGGAATCATTTCCTCTCCCCCCTTTAACTTGGCTGAGAATTTCAGACTGCCATAAACCTTTTTTTCCCCACTAAAAGTCCATTTCAAGATAATTCTTGAACAAGTAATTTTCCAGAAACCCAGACATGCAATTGCATGAATATTGATAATATAGTCTGTATCTATTTTTGTTGACATTGTGCCTGTAATAAAACATGCTCTGAGTCCAAATTACCTTTATTTTAGTGTAACAGTCTTATGCAGAAGAAAATGTTTGTGCATTTGCTGGAAAATGGGGTTGAAATGGTTCCTTATGCAATGTAAGGGGTTAAGCACAGCTGATATCTTGGTTAAGAGAATCAGGAATGTTTTTAAAAGTGCTTAGTGTGGTTGTCATACTGTATTTTAAAAAAAAAAACTTTGGTCAGATTGCACCCCTTTCTAAAACATTTTCTTCTCATTTCAGCATGAGAGGCTCTCTAGGTAAGGTTCTTCTAATTTGATTTACACCATCAGTAAGAAAGGCATTACCACGTATTACCAGAATGACAGCAAAAACAGGAATCTATCCATTACTGACAGGAGTATATCCATTCAATTGGGCAAAGAGTGTGCTAAATCTGAATTAATAGTTAATACATCTCCTGTGTCTTCAGATTGGGATCATCTGGATCATCTGATGTCTCCAATGACACATCAACAAACCATGCTGAGTCCTACTTTTTACAAAGAGAGAACAGACTATCTGCAAGGAAAAAGGCACAAGAAGAGACAGCAAATAATGATTATAAAAAGGTATGTGATACACCTTAAATACAAATATACACGACTGTTATAGATTTGTAATATGTAGATTCTGAGTGCTACTTTTTGACAGTACTGTAGATGCGTATGTACTGTAATAAAAGAACAAAAATAAAAAGAGCACACAAAGATTCAGTGGGCTCAATAATTCGTAACATTTGGATTTAATGAAAATGATGAATAGAATGGGAGCTACTGCTGATAATAATCAAATCTAATTTCAAATAGAAATTAAGTATGTAAATTTAATACCACTGCACTTTTTTTAATGTTGTCAGATGAGAAAAATAGTTTATTCATATGAAATTATATGAAAATGAATCAGAATCACGTATTCAGGGGGGCAGATACTACGATGCTAATGGGTTTTATGTCGCTTTATGAAAGTAATATGATCACCAAAGATGGCACAGCTTATCTTGACAAACACAAGTGCCATGAGTGATTCATCCAAAACTTGTTGAAGCAAACATCTAATGTCTGTCAAGATATTTTAAGGAAGAAATCTGACCCTGATGGCAAATGATGAAAACTGAAACTACCACAAAAATGTGTCCTGGTGGCAGTGTTTGGTGGTGGAAATCCTAACATGTGGGTATTTTGTAGATGTATGAAAAGGCACTGGCAACAAATCAAAGGCTCAAGTCCCGACTGGAAACAAGTAAACAGGAACTCACCATGATGCAAGACCAGCTGGAGAGAGCACAGGTACTCTAAGCAAGGCTGAAGTAATGATCCAGAAACACTACTGAGAAACAAATTAACCACTTGTTTGAAAAGGGCAACAGTCCATTTTTTTTACATAAATATGAGACATTGATAACAGAGACTCCATAATCAAGCTGTTTCCATAAATTGCAATCTTTTCTCATAGTAATCTCTCTTTGCTGCAGAAGGGGAGACAGGATGACTGTGGGGCCAATGTGCTAGAAGCAGAAAAAAAGGTATGGACTCAAGAGGAGAAGTGTTTTTTAAGCATTTTTACTCGTTTATTTTAATTACCTTTAATGATTATACTTAAAGGAAAGCTGGAGCCTTAAAAAGAGGATATCAGATATGGAAGAACAACTGAAGGTAAATGTTTTATAAATGCCTTAAAATTGAATTTGAACATTAAGTCTCTTTTGAGAATATACAGTAAGTGTTTGGTTGTAACTTGGTGCTGTGGTCTCAGCTGTTTTGTCTTCAGTGGCTTTAGCTGACATCATTTGTCACCATTATGCTCTGCTGGCTGTGCAATGTGTGAGCACTGCAGCGAGTGAGCAATCAGTATTCATGTGCAGCGTAAAGCCCACAAATGTCTGCTGTGTTCTGCACAAATGAATGCAAACAAAAACTTCTTGTTGTCTGTGAATGAGAGACCTAAACAAAGATGCTGGTCTAAAAATATACCTTTAAAACAGAGAAATTATTCAAAACTGGTCTAAAAGTATCTGTCTGTCAGTGTGTATGAACACATTATTGTATTTGTTTAATAAAGATCAGTATGTCCTTTATTCTTTAGGCCAGTTTTCTTTCTGTACCAGTTACTAATAAGAGTAGAAACCAGAAACCTTCATAGAATGTAGATAAAAGATGGACATACCGTAGTCAGTATGATATCAGGTTTGGTTAGAAATAGGTTTAGAAGCCTCAGGCCATGGATCAGATTGAGAAACCAAGAAGCACTGAACACTTGTACAGTAGCAAACTATGAGTCACAAGGTAGGTCCTCTCTGCAGCATACCTGGTTTTTTCCATCCTATTTGACTTGAATGGGGTCCAGAATCTAAAAAGAGAACTTAAAAGTAGCGGCTAAGACCTCAGGAGAGCCATAGATCAAAGGAGCCAAAAAGCTTCTTTTTTTTCTCCCCCATAGATTACTATACAACTGAACATGCAGGAACCATCTCATGCTGGTGATAAGACAGACTGTAGGTTTAAGGCACTTTTGCATTGCTTTCACTTTTCAGACCCTGAAGCTACGTCCATCATTTATAAACACCAGCAAACTTGTATGAGTTTCACATTAAGCAGGACCTTGTTACTGTCCACTTTGTGAGCAAGAATTCTTTTTCTCTTAGAAGACACCGTTCTGTATCCCTGTGTTTCTCTCTCCTGTGTTATGCACAACTTTTAAAAAGTGGTCTCTGCACAGATCAAGATTCATTGTATTTATTAATATTATATGTAAATGTTATGACAGTTACGGGGTGTTGTGGTCACTGTCGATCAAATCTAGTGAAACAAATTTTGTGCTCAAAGTAAATATTGTTTATAGCAAAAAAAACGTTTACTTGTGGTTTTGCAAGAATCCAAGGTTATGCCTTTGTTTTAAGAGGTAGATTAGCATGTGTTCTGCGGGTGGTCTGTTGTACTCTGAATCTGCTACCATGTGAAGGCTGAAAAGATTGCTGACATGACCAGAAATAAAAACCAGTCCTTGGTGTGTAGCCCATGAAGACACCAAAATATGAACTTACTTTTAAACTACAAATTAAGAACAAGCAAATCCTTATACTAGCCACTGTAAGTAGAAATGCTCTACCTGGGACGAGTTGTAGGACCTTTTAGATACTCTGTCCACCCTTATGTTTTTATACTCTCTTTTCCCTCAGATTAAAGCAGAGCTTAAGATGGAAAACCAGAGACTAAAGGATGAGAATGGGGCTTTAATCCGTGTCATCACCAAACTCTCCAAGTGAGAAGGGAAGCAGACAGGAGGGAAGAAGAAGAAAGGATTCAAGAAGTCATATTTTAATCTGTATCCTTTAAATTTCTGAAAGCATAAGTCCATCCTCTGAAAAGATATGTACATTGGTCAGCAGAATGTATTAAACTGAGCCCTTTCTACTGATTGTTTAGAAAGATGAAAGAGATGTTGATTTAATACTGATTTTCCATCCTCCTGTTCACATATAAGAAGACACATTTGTCCAACTGTAAACGCACAATACATCAATTTAAAATTTAAAATGTAAACTCACTAAATATTTCTAAATAAAGGCAAATGCCAGTTTATGTGTTTCTTATTACTGTCTTTAAGTGAGTAAATAGTCCTCAAGTAAACAGTATATGAAATTTTGTTACTGAGTAGACGCTTTCACAAAAATGGACAAAATATTGCAGGTATTTCCAAAGAAGCATTGCCATGGAAACAGCAATATTTGGCCTATTCCATATGCAGATCATGAAAATGGGCTCTGAACTATCAGGGACAGTGGGTGATGGATGAGAAACATTTTTTAGGAACGTAGGAGTGTCATCTCTGATTTAAGAGCTTTACCTTGACTGATGATATTGCAAGTAACACGATCTTTGGCTTACAAGTTTAAATAGAAAAAATGTTAAAAAAATTATGTATTTATCTATTTTTTTCCCTATAAAAGTGTCAAAACAAATTTAGCTTTCTTGTAAAATATCGGCTCAATCTCATGCACTTATTAATCTGTCATATTAGCGTCAATTAAGTAGGAGTTGTGGTGATTTTGATCAAATCACATGGACTTTATCGCTAAATGGTGAATATGATATCCTTTATTTAAAGGCATAAAACTGTCTTTTTACTTTTTTTTTTTTAACGCTGGGCTGTCATCTGTGTCACACTCAGCTACTAAGCTGCTTCTTGGCATTTATTTTATGCATGCAACGCCACCCGCTGACCATAAATGGAAATGCATCCTCTACATACATTTACACAACACATGGGACAAAGCTACTTAAAATGCCTTTATTTCCTATTATTACATATGAACAACACAGAGATATGCTCTGATCACATCCTCATATTTTGGTTCCCTTGAGTACTTCAGTTCTACACAGAATGATGTATGAGTACAACTTTTTTGGTCTTTTTTGTTTGCTTTTCTGCTGGAAAAACATGGATTCTGTACAGAATTAAATCATGCAGTTCACAAAAAGGCACAACTATTGACACACCTCTACAACAAGACAAAACAAGAATGACGAACGACATTCAAGCATTTCCCTTGTCTATGTTGCTGGGTAAGTGAATATATAAGCGAGCTGGACTGTCTTTGGATGTTCTGTTATATGGCTATGTTGACTTAACAGGATCATGACTGTAAAGGAACCATTACCGAAGCAGCAGGTTGGCAGTATTGCATTTCGAATGTTGAATGTTGAATCTGCACTGTTTGGGTCTGCTCTGTGCCCAAGACAGCTTGTGAGACCCAGGAAGACAGGGATTTTGTTGCCTGCATCGCAGAGAACATACCTAACATACCTTAACAGAAGACCATTTAACGAATGCCGGCTCTACACTCCTGCTGAAAATACATAAACTAGCACATGTAAAATACAAGTTCTATATCAAAGAGTAGAGGATGTGCTGACACACGGTGTACTAAAGGATGTAATGAGGTGCTTCTCCAGAAAAAAGATATTGGAATTAGACATTAATCCTCTGTCTTCAGCTCATCTCCTCGAAACCAGAAACAGTCTTAATGTGAAAGAGAGTGCAGAGAGGATTAGGCGCGTTCATCTCCATGCACTCCATCTTTATAAATAAGGCTTTATCTAAACGTAAATGATAATGACTCAAAAAGCAGAAAAATGAAGGCCCATATTGTAAATGATGTGGTAGACAGCGTCAGTATCTCAGAGCATGCAGAAGCGACACAACACCAGCTCATCCTATTGTAATCCCTTAGTTAAAGTATATCAGTTCATACAGTGGCATTTGTAATGAAAAAAAATATTGATTGCTTGATTATTAGATGGTAGCTACTTAAAAGAACAGCATCAATAATCTGGTATGCTGTAATAATATTTAATTACTTATGAAGCAAAGAAGACACTACTGAATAATGAATTTACAACTGAATTCAGTTTAATTTATCCTACAATTGAAATAAAAGCTAATTTTCTTGAAAAGCAAGAAGATGAGGAGGTACAATTTAATGACGTGTGACGAAAAAGGGGCTACAAGTCAGTTAGCTAATGTACGGCACTGACATTTGATTAACTAAGACTTGACACCCGTCTGGCAGGAGTACATGAAGGAAACACTTAGGTACACTGAGATAGAAAATTAAGGAGACAAGTATTCTCCTGTTTTGAAATATATACAATTAACTGATTATGTATTAATACACTCAGAAATGAACAATTATTACATGACTTGTAGCCTGAGGACAAAAACACACTAGCATAGAGACATAAAAACAATGACGGAAAATCAGACGATCATGCAGTTTGATGAAAACGCAATGGATTTCCATGTGACACTAAAATCAGCTGTGTTTTTAACTGAGGCATTCATGGAGTCTGGTAAGCCAAACATGGATTGTTCAGACATACATTCAGCAGAAATTCATACACTTTGCAGTCAGTGCATCCTTTTTTTATACTCTGTTTTATTATAAAAATGACACAGAACACAAACACACATACACAATATAATTATGGTTCCTCTTTAAAACATGCCGCTATTTACATCATCTTGTAAATACATGCTGTAGCCTATTAACAAATTTTGCGTGATGCATATGTTAACAATTGTAAAGAAGTACTGTGGATGAACCTGTCAATGTGCCGCTGCTCACCATTAGATACTTCTGCTGGCGACGTGGATGCATACGAACGACTGCCTTAACATTTTCTTTTTTAAACAAACTGCCCCCTTATAAAAATGTCCTGAAAAATCTATGTTGACATTTAAAAGCACTAAATGTAGACACAAGTTTCTATGAGTTCATTTTTTCCAGTTTCTGAAATTCTGAGAAAATATTTTAATGTGTTGGCCTCCCAAGATCTGATTTTGGATTTTTTGATTTAAAGAAAGTAATTCACAAAACACAGATTCCCTGATTTTGTCTCACTTAGAATTCACTGATAACATCAATGTATCAACTTGGGTTGAGTGGATGAGTGGGCTGGAGCCAATCCCTGGAGATAATCCACAAGAGATGGGGTAAAACCCTGGACATGTGTCCAGTTCCATCAATTCATGGCCAGTTCAGAATCCAAAATTACCTACGCAAGCAGTGAAACGCAACAACAGAGAGGCTTCAGTGTTTGAAGCCAGAAATTAGTTGTCATTAATAATGATTTCAGTTACAATGATTTGAATTATAAGAAAGTGATACTGACTCTTTTCCCTCCCGGTAAATTCGGAAGATTTTTCAGGTTCAGGTTGTCATCACGTGTGATTAGAGAAAGTGTCATCCATTTTCTAAAGCTATTTTTTGGGTTTTTTAAGGTTCCTGCAATAAATGACAATTTTAATCCTACATATGTCTACATTTAACTCAAAGAAACCAATATGGGGACAGTCATGATTCTTCAGTTAAGAGGAGCTGCTACAGGAAAGAGATCAGGTCATTGGTAAATTCAGTGGAATTTAAATGTCAACATTTTAAATGTTCTATCCTCAGTCATTCCCTTATAATAATCAATTCTTTGTGTCCTTTTTTGCTTCCAAGCCACTAAACATTGCACTAATAATTTGCCTACAAGTTTCAACATCACCATATTGCAGCACTTTGTCTCCAGGATCAAAAAGCTTGTGTCCCGACCGAGTGATTCAAACAAGACAAAATACTGCGAGGCATGATACATGCTCTATTCTGCAGCTCTATTTGGTTCAAGCAGATGGTCCAGGATGTGTGTATTGTATACGTTTGATGATACAGTTGCTATGTTTAGATTCTACAAACCTCATTAATACTTCCTTTTAAAAATCAAAGCTACATCTTACATTTCAAATTCAATAATCTATAAAAACATTTCGTCTTTGACAGAAATCCTCATGTTGTTTCAGCAGAAACTACAGAAATATTGAAGTGAATTACAGTAGAACTACAACATCAGCCAATGACGTGGAATCGTTTTAATGAATGTCAAAACATAATAACCAAAATGGCACTGTCTTTTACTAAACAACAGAAATCAAAGAAGCATAGTCAGTACTGTTTTCAGCATCATTGGTAATCCTTTTTAGTGCCTTACTTCTACAATGGATAAGTAAGGTTTTACATCCAAGTGGTCAACATAGCCAGATTTCAAATGGCACATTCACAGTGTCCCTGACACATTTTGAACAATATTCAACCACTTTAAAATAAACAATAAAACCTGCACTACTTCTCAAAGTGTCATATCAGGAAGGCACCCTTGTATTCCTGTCTTACATTACACCTGTCTGAAGACACAGAAATGTGGGTTGAAGCTAAATGCATAGATGGGCCTTCGTGGCAACACAAAACAAGCAACTTAAGTCAGACAACTGCATCATCCCTGCTATATGGTTCTGCTGCACTGTTTGCACCATCTCATATGTGAGCTGATAAAATCAAGAAAAATGTCATACATATTCCAGAATTGATTGTTGCATTCATTGATCTCAACCTGAATCATCTGCACTTGAATCTCTTCGCATTGATAGACTTAAGACAAACTTTATGCAGGAAATAACCCCAAATTAGAGTACTTTCTATTGCAAGTTAAAGCACAGTTATTAGCAAGACACAATACTGGGCGTGATGCACGCAGAGCAGTGGGGAGGTAAGTAAAGCATGCTCTATAAACTAAACTAAAGCCTTTTTTTTATATATATCCAGCATTGTCTTCACCAATACTTCCATTCAGTGTCAGCACCCTAAGAATGAGATTCTTCAAATGAAGGAAAGACTAAAAGTCGATCATTCATTAACCAGTCACCCGGTAACTCAACACCATTCTTCTCAGCATACATTAATGTGGGAAATGTGATGCTCAAAAAGAGTTTCAGATATTCTACAATGTCTTTTTTTTTATATATATATTTTTTGAGCAGGACAAATAGTCATGTGTGAAGTCATGAAATTCATGCAAAGTAGGGATGAAGATTGGATTTCTGAGTTAGTGCATTAGCTGGTTGGTGAGATGTGTTACTTCTTTGCATTCAAGGATGCCAGCTGGCCATCAATTTCCTCCTCTGGCTGCAATGGGTGCCACTGGGCAATGGGACGGCGTGGATTAGCCAGCATGTCAGACCAGTGCTTCAGACCTAAGCCAGTAGCCTTACTGCCCACGAAGATTTTTCCAATGGCATCATTCTTACCTATCTTGTCATAATCAAACACTGTGACTGCCACCAAGATTTTCTGAGAAGGCAGCAAGAGAAAATGTAATCAATTATCTGTTTTCTGGGCATTTCATCATTCAAACTGTAGTGGAGATTCATTCATGAGCTATTATAACATATCAGTGAAGTCCAAAAGGTGTTGTATGACTTGTACTGTACCTGCATCTGTTCCAGGGGGATTTCAAAGCTGAAGGATTCATTGTAATATGGGTTTAGGGTGTTCTTCTTCACTGTAGTCTTCTTTTTCTTCAGACGCTTACCACCCTGGAGCAGCTGGATCTTTACATAAGGATCTAGAAAAAACATGAATATGATGAACAAAAGAGAAAAACTTATTCTGTCAATGACACAACCTTTAGTGTTTCTTAATTTGTTTGTTTGTTTGTATTTTAAATGGTTTTTCTTTGAATTTTCTCTTCGAATTGAATTTTCTTGCATGTGCCAAAGGAAGAGAGTATTATGTGGGGTTTTTTCTACCAGATAAACCGCAGGCGTCCATCTTCTTCAGATTCTTTGCCTCCAGGATGCAGACAGTGAGTTTTCCAGCAGTGGGGACATAACGAAGGGAGATGCAGATATCTCCAAGTTTCTCAGGCTGAGCAGTAAGAGACACAGAAATGACAAGCACACATACTCATCAGATGTTCATAAATTGCATTTTCTGTGATGGGTGGGTGCAAAACATAGCTTTTATTTATCAAGATTTATACTCTTAGACTGAAACTGAGGGTTTTTTGTTGCTGCAACAGTGACATTATTTGGAATAAAACCCCTCTATCTGGATTTATGATCGCTCTGAGCTTTTAGACTTTGAAAATCCACTTTGATGACTGGGGGCAGGGATAACCTCGAAAAAGACACTGGAAAAGACTAGAGATACTAGCAGGTTATGTGTGTAATCAGTTGTGATAAATTTAAAAAAGTGAGATAGTTTCCTTAATTATTCAAGCAAACTATCTCAGCATCATTGTTCACAGGTGTAGAAATGCAAGGAGAGAAATTTGTTGCACCACTGACATAAATAAAATTTTTGATTTCTATGTGTCTGAATGTTTGTGCACTGTTATGAAATTCCATCTTTTAAGAAATGCGAACTAATCAAGGAGCTAAATTATTTCTGAATATTAAAGATAGGATGATCAACCAGTGCCATAAAAATCTTGCTGACTTCTCCAACCGAGTCGACATCAAGCCCCTCAGCCCTGCTGTAGTTTTCAAGTAAAATTAAATGCAAATAAATAAAGAGGGAGAATTTTTGGTTTAACTGTGTTTAAACCTGAATTGATACACAGTTAGTGCTCAAATAAGTATTCATGGAAGCAGCATGAAAGACTAACGAGAAACAAACTATAGTGGAACCATTTATCATAATGAAGGAACATGTAAGCTGGTGCAATGGTGCAGCTGAATGTGTTCTTAATTGATTTTTGGTCAACAATGGAGCATTGTGGCTCAGAAAAATAAGATATAATTGATCTCTGTCTAGACAGACAATACTTGATAGTAGCATCAATTCATAATTGGTTTGGGGCTTTTTCTTAGGGTTGACACCCAGAAAGTTTAGAATCTCAATGGTCTATTATTTAAAGAGCACAGAATGAATCAGTTCAATAAGCACCTCCTCTTGATCAGCACTCTCGAGATCCCGCCACTCCTCAATAGGCCGTCCAAGGTCAATGGTGTTCATGGGCAGCTTTACCTCTCCAATGACATCATGTTTAGAAAATCGGTCATAGTCATAAACAGACATCACCAAGGTCTTTCCACCAAGCTCCTCATAGGGTACCTGACCAAGAAACACAATGTCACTTATAGATTGTATTTATCTGTGTCACAGGTTTATTTTTAATGTCATTAAACTTCACATAAACTGCCTCTGGATTTCTTGAAAAGGGCGAGTTAGTCCCACTGAAAAAAACCCTCATTAAATGATACAAATACTTGCTTACAAATTTATAGTGTTTAGCAGCTGCTATACAGAAAACAGTCAATAATCAAAACTAAATGGAAAAAACTAAGTGAACTAAAAATGTTAAATTATAAATTATCAGAGAAAATAATCTGAGAAACCAGACAAATAATACGCCTTAAAAGCACTAAATGAAATGTACAGTTATTTTTTTCAAATGCAAACAACAAACATATTAGGAAAAATAAGTTATTACACTCCAATCCACAGAAATCTATGTGAAAATGAAGATGAGGACACCTCTACTACAAACTGCATAGGCATACATGAAATAAAAAAAAAAAAGCATCTTCTGTTTTAAAAAGAAAGAAAATATCTGGAATAAATTTTGATGGAGAAACAATAAATCTGACAGTGAAATTCTCATGGGAGGCCTTTGGAGATGGCAATAAAGGGCAGCCTGTACAATAAGATAGTTTTCTGCTGCAGTTTTAACATTTTGCAGACTGGTATCGCCTGCAGCTTGACCCAGAGAGACTTGCAAAGTCCCAGCGGGGCTTATTAGCTAGGAGCATCTAAGAGCAGCATGTAGGCTGCATAGGCCAGTGGGTACACACACAGAGCCAGACAAACCTGACATACTGTCAGTTTCATACACAAAAAGCTGCGATAATGATTTGTGATATTTTTTAAAAAAAAACAACTTACTCAAATAAGATTTATGTTTCTTTTTTTTTTACAGCTGCATGCAAGAACAAGACTCACCTTGAAAACAAATGTCTCATTGAAGACAGGGTTCAGTGTTTTTTTGTGCACTTTGGTGTCAAACTTCTTCTTCTTGTCAGGGAAGAGCAGGACTTTAACATAAGGGTCTGAGGTTCCACCTGAGTCCATGGACATGAGATCTGCAGCTTGAAGGATACCAATTGTCAGCTGTGTGGAGAAAATGAGGGTGTATGTAAGCAACAGGAGCAGTGAAAACAGAATTTTATCAGGCAAAAAATGCAACTTTTCTTTGAGGGTCACTGCCTCAGACTGGTTATATAAGCCTCGCAATCCATCACCACAAGCGTCTCAGCTGACTGGAGACATACTGGATGTCAGAAGCTTTTCCTCAGTGTCATCCAATTGTCACAGTGTGGTAACTTCTAAAAAATGTATTACACTGTGTGCTAGAAAATACAGATTTTACCTGTCTATATTTTACAGATACATTAAAAGTACAGCCATTTCACCCTCTACTGTGTTTCATATCTAGTGAATTATTGGCATTTTAATTGAGCACATGAAGGTTTGCTCATATGCTGTCGAGTAATCAGTTAAGCTGCTGGAAGTACCACGGTTAGATAAATGTCTTTTGATTTACCTGAAGCCACAATAACAAGTTACCCTTTTAAGGTTTAGCCTCTTTTGTCTTTTCAGCCCTAAAAATAACTGTGGTCTTACTGACAATGTTCATCTTCTGCATACTCCTATTCAGGTTTTGTATAGTATGTAAATGTAACCTTGAGTAACATCAACTTAACTGTCCTGTTTTGCTGCTATTAAAATTGTGAAGTTTATATTTGGTGTTTGTTCACATTCAAAGCCTGAATTAGGGAACTCTCTATTCCTCAAAATGTCATGGAAAATTACTCTTTTTCTGGCTGCTGACAGTAATTTCTGATTTATGGAGTAATAAAAAAACAGCCATCCAATATCCCCTTTGTAAAAACTTTAATACGTCAAAAGAATGAAAGAAGAATTCCGAGTCTCATTGATCTCACTCTTACCAATGTTCAGATATCTGTTCCAGAAAAGTTTTCAAAACTGGCAATGACGCCTAATTTGCATAATTGAATGTGAAATTTCAGAATACATTACAAAAAATAAATAAATACAAATACTACAGCGAGTTCCATACTGAAGATGACATGAATTGGGTCATCTAACTCTTTAATTTAAACATGTCTTTAATTACTAAAACATTTCAAATGGGTAATTTAAATATAGCAGAAAACATGAAAAACTCCCTCCAAAATTGTTAATTATTTCTAGAGCTTTTTTTTGTAGTTCACAAAATGTGATAACCACAGACCTTTGTATTCTCAAAGTCATAATCTATAGAGTATTGCAGCTTCCCCAGTTTCTCCTGCTCTTTCTCCTCTTCCTCTTTCTCTTCCTCTGTCAGTCCAGTCTCTCCCTCATCATCATCGTCATCCTGATGTGTCTGCAGTGTAAAGGTAACAAAATAAAAAGCTATGTTAAAGGTAAGAGTACAAAAAGTCAGGATACAGGGTTCCCCATAACAGCCAGCATGCCACAGACACTGGAGCTCCAGGAGTTTTTATGTGGGAGATACATGTTTTGGTTACTGCTTACCTGCACAGCACCTGATGATAAAAACCAGGAATTTATCATTTACAAGGACATAGCTGCCTGTAATCGGTATCCCTACTTTTTTTTAAGAAACTGTAGAAATGATTGTCTCAGTGTTTGTGGATCAGTGGGCAAGTCCTTAAATCTGACATGCTTCAGCAGTACAGTGACAGCCAGAATCAGTGGAGGCATTGCATGCTAGTTCCACTAAGAAGGGTAATAAATGCCACGTCCTAATAGTGAAACTGAAAATAAGAATAATTTCTTGTTGTTAAAGGCATTAGATCTTAACAAATAAGCGAGGAGATATAGGTTTGGATAGACCCCTAAGGAACTAGCTTACAACAGCAGGAACAAATGCATATTAATCAATAAAAAATATGACATAATATTCAGGGCAAGGGGATGTATCTTATTTTATAGGATTTATTTTTAAGACTTCAAATTTGTTAACCTGCATCTCTTTAAATTAATGTGGCAAAATAAATGTTTCTCCTTTCACCTCACCATTATTACAAAACTAAATCAGGATTAAAGGGCACAGCCAGCTATTTGAATTTTGTTAGAGCCTTACTGCTTCAATATGATTTTTCTTATTAAGTAACTTAGGTGATCTTGACTTTGTAATCTTTTCTTTGGGTCATCCAGTGTCGTCACATCCTACCTCCTCCTTGAGTATTACCATAAAACGAAGAGATTTGCAAATATTTGGCTCACCATGCAGTTTTATCATCACCGTTTCCATGTCTCCCAAACAACCAGCCATGCCCTTTATCACATGCACAGATTAATAGTGTTAATAGTCTTGCATATCATATTTTAATCCAATACTTTCCATATTGGTGTGATTTACAGTAACATTGTCCCAAGAACAATGTGTTAGATGGTTAGACTCTCCTCTCTGGGGTTTATGGAGCACATCATAGCTTTCCATTGTTACATTCTCAAGCTATCATACCAAAAAAACTACAAAATAATGGGGAGGAAATTAAAAAAAGAAAGAAAGAAAAAATAGCAAAGGAAGCTACAACTTTCATTCCATGAAACCCCCCTCCGCCCTGGGGGCCAGAGAGCATCGACATGAGCTATCCACCTACCGTAGAGCAGGAGTCCACCACAGTCAAGAAACACGAGGCACACACAAGACAGACACAAAGCGGAAAAGGAGGAGAGCAGAGAGAGGAAGAGATTCAACTCACAAGACACCAAACACACTTCAAAAAGAGAGGCAATCAACACCACCACCACCACAATCATGATGAGAAATGACACGCTTGTTTTAGGCTCAGGGCGATAATTTCACATTGTGGACACAAGCAGTTGATTGCTTTAATTAACTGTACAGGGGCAGTCTATGGTAATATAAGCTGTTTAGCCCATCAAATTAAGAATTTATCCTTAACTTTATAGCACTTTGATTCACAACTTCCTGATCTTTCTGCAGGCCTCATCCTTTCATCCATTACCTTTTAATATGATAAGCTTTGTTTTGTAAGTTGACGAAACATTCTCTGCTCATTCTTTGCCACATTGCAATAAAGTGTGCCGTTTTTCACCATGGAGCACAATGGAGCACACATTTAAACAACCACAACAACAACAACAACAACAACACAAATTGAGGGGAAGAGAGCTCTCCTTGTGTCCTCTACAGCCTGGGCTAAAAAAGCTGCTGGTAAAAGATCAGATTTAGTTAGCAACATTGTTAAAATCTGGGCAATAACTATCATAATAAATAATAACAACTTGAATAATAAATTATTGTTGACAAGAAGCGACAAAATTTCACCAATGCATCTTGTAACCTTGACTCTTTAGCATGTAGGAAGCGCGAGGCATCATACCTCACCACCCTGCATGTTCTTCATGTTGAAGCCATCCTTTCCCTTCTTTCCTTTCTTGTTCTTCTTCTTCTTGCAGCAACATTTTTTGATTATGCAGAAACAGCAGGTGAGGATTAGCAATGCTGCCACTACAGCAATGGCAATCAAAGCCCACGGAGGCACTGTTGATTTCAAAATAAACGAGGAAAAGTTGAGTTTGAATGGAACTTTGGTGTTTGCCAAATGTTAATGTTTTGTAATGCTTGGAATGATGTAAAAAGCTCTGCAGCATTACTTACATGGGATTTTATCAATTTCATTCAAGAATTTGCTCTTGATCTCCTCAAACATGTCATTCTTGCTGATCTCTGTATTGTTCGAGCCAGAAGTTTCTGGTGCTGAGGTGGACATGGCAGCTGAGGTGGGAGCCATGGTCATGGTGGGGGCACTGGTGGGCTCGGCCGCTGCCATGGCCTGTGGCCGTCTGAACAAGTTGAACTTCATTGTCAAAGACTAGGCACAGCGTCCCTGAAACACAAAGAGATCGGATATGAAGCAACAAAAATTGCTTTAGTGGTATCATGGAAGATTTGTCAAAGAAAGTGAAAAATATTGAAAAACTATTGAAATATTGAAACTCATTATGACTCAGGAAGTCATAATGGAACATCAATCAAATTTAGCCATCTGCACCAACAACAGAGGCAAAAGACTGAAGTAACTTCTTAAGAGGGGTGGCAAATACATTAGGTTACCTATTCACTAGGGGTGCAACGATACACAAAATTCACGGTTCGGTTAGATCCTTTGGTGTCACGGTTCGATATTTTTTCAATACAAAAAAATGTTCATGCCTTTTTAATTTGTCATTTATTAAAATTATAAATATATATTTAAGTCAAAAGTAGTTTTTAAATTTAATGTTGCTGAAACAACAAAATAAAAATAAAAAAATCTATCTGATCGAGGAATCACTCATCTTTGGAAAAGAGAGTTTATTACAGAGAAATGGCTCTTTCCAAAATAAAAGCTATACTATCCGCTTCTTCTGGGCTATATTCTCAGCAGCATATTAAACATATCAGGTCCCCATAAGGAGAATCATGTGCTAACGGCTGTCTAAATGACTCGGGTAAAGTTTGTAGCATGTGTGTTTGTTGTTTTTGTCTGCTTCCACTTGTCTTTGCACTAGGATGATGGCGGTGTAAATGTGCAGTCATATTTGTTGTGTTCCCACTAGTGCTGTCAGCGTTAATCTTGTTAAAATGACATTAACGCCATAACTCGGCAAATCTCCATTAACGAGTTACCATGGATCGCCCCGTGCGTGGGGCTAAGGCACTAGTTCCCACCAATTGAGCATTGCGTGGCACATCCGACATATTGTTTTACTTTTGTCCATGACACGCTTACCATCAGGGTCATGCTTCACATGAAAACCAAGATAGTTCCAAACGCCAGATCTGAATGAGGGTGGGAGAAGTTCAATTTCGGGTAGCGTTGAGGCAGTTGCCATGTTGCAACAAGCTTAGCTTCTGTCTTGCTAGCTTGCGCTGCGCTCAGTGGATCTGCACTCGACAGTGCAGCCTAGGCGGGCGGAGTAGTCGAACACAGATCCACTGAGCGCTCAACACAGACAGCATCGTCAGAAGAAAAGTTGATAAAATAAATCAAAAATTTTGTATTGTTTGATACACATGCCTACCGAACCGAAAGCGCTGTATCCAACGGTTCAATATCAATACGAGTATCTTTGCACCCTTACTGGTTAGTAATCTAAAACTCCAGAAAGCTGCTAAATTGATTTTATTCTGACTTGCCTCAGCTTTCCATTATAATTTTTAATTTTATGTTTGAGTGATGATGACCTTGAGAGCTGCAACTCAACTCTGTGAAAGATGGGGAGTATGAAAACAATGCTACATCTGGGACTCATCACACTCATCACACAAGTCACAGAAGTTGAAAGCCCTTGATGTTGCTGATGATATGAGAATTTAGTGTGTGTGTGAAACTGTGACCTGAGATGATTACACCTCCACCTTAAACACAATGATCTTCCAGACCTAAAGGAGAGTCTAAAAAGTTATCCAAAATTAAAGGATACGTGAGTATCTGTACATGTACATGATGGCACAATTGTTAAATGATTTTATAGAATAATCAATACATAAACAGCATCATTTTGTCAGGTAAGTAAAGAGAGACATTAAAGATGAATAATTAGTTTATCTTAATGACTTGAACCCAATGACTGCTTGAACCAGAAGAAAACAGCTGCTAACTCAAAATTAGCAAATGTCAGTTGCTTGTCAAACCGCAGAGTATTGTTACTTAAAATATATATGATGAGTGAGCTTTAGAGGTCCTTAAGATAGACCTTATTATATGTGACAGAACCATATCTAAGCATCTATTTTTCTGGAAAAATACCAGAAACACCTTCCCTGACATGACGAATCATGCTTCTCTGTCTGGCAACCCGATGGGTGAGTCTGGGTTTGATGGTTGGCAGGAGAACGATACTTGTCCAACTGCAATGTGTCAAGTATAAAGTTTGGTGGAAAGGGAATTATGGATGAAGAACTTTACTGGCCTGCACAGAGCCTTGATCTCAACCCAATAAAATACCACTGAGATGAATTAGAGTTCACATTTCGAGCCAAGCCTTCTTGTCCAATATCAGTGTCTGATCTCACAAATACACTTCTGGAATAATGGGCAAAAATTCCCAGAAAAATCAGACTCGTAAAACTTGTGTAAAGCGTTCTCAGAAGAGTTTAAGCTGTTCTGGCTGCAAATGTTGGGCCGGCATCACACAACCCTATGGATGAAGAATGTATGTCACTCAAGTTCAGTCATTTGAAGGTAAATGACTGAATAGTTTTGGTAATAGGGGTTTTCTTCTACCAACCAACTAATCTGTATTTGTTTTTATTATTTATAACCGACTAATCAATGATCAGACCAATAAATAGTTGAAGGTTCCACCTTAAGAGTTCAAATGTTTTAAGATCAATCTTAAAATAGATTCTGAAATTTTATAGACTTAAGTTTAACAGGTTAGAGGTAGCTGGAGATCTAAGCTGCGACTTTAAATAGCATAAGAAGGCCGTCATCTAAATCAGTTTCACCTCCCAACATACTCTAATAAAATGAGTGTCTTCTCAGAAGGGCCCTCTTTTAACAGATGACAACTCCAATTTAACTCTCAGCCCCAAGTGAGCATTATGTTATGTATTCTCTGTTTGCTCTTTGCATGACTGCTGGTGGCAGCAACAACACTAACATTTACTGCTGAGCACAAATGTCAATGCTCTGGTCTAATTGAAGCTTGCTGTTTGTCAAAGTGCTGCAGATCGCTAGATGAATTTGAAAACACCTGCTTTAGTTTTAATTAACCATGAATAACTGTATTATAGTGCTGGGACAGGATTGTTTCCTACTTCATTTAGTCATTTATTTGATTACTACGTGTATCTCAGGAGCATAATGGTTTAAATTGTGTCAGTAAGACTACTTATTTACCACAGTGTGATATATTTCTAGGAGCTGCTGCTCTGACTGATATGTTTTTTTAAAACTAAATAATATGATTTTGATGCTGCCTTTAGTCTTTCATGAGCCCCACAAACTCAGCATAGTGCTTAAGAATAACTGGCAGCTTGACATCCTTTTATTCGTTTTGTCACTCTGCTAATGTTTCCACGTTTATTTGTTTTTCACTCCAGGGTAAAGAATTCAAAGAAATAGTGCAATTTAAGAGAAAAGGTCATGGAATTAAGATGTGTTCAAGCAACTAAGGAAAATGTAACATGATTTACATATTTTTTTAATTGCTAAGCACATTAGGTATAATGTTTTATATCCATGCTATGGATGTAAGACAAGTATAGAATTAGTACTGGCAACTAAGTTTGCTAGCGTTACACCTTTTTTTCAGTTGATCTACTGTGATCTGCTCGAGTTTCTTACTATAAAAGATGTAATAATTAAAAAAATGGTACTTTTTATTGTGTAAGCTTTAAAGTACGATACTATCAGCTTTTTATCAGCTGTTTGCTTGCTATTACACTGTTATTTTACAGTGTTTCTACTGTAATTATCATCAAACTTATATTGCTGTAAAATTTACATACATGTCCTCCTCATATAACGTGAATCCAGTTTATTGTCTTTCTTGAACTGTACGGTAGCTCCCCACAATTCTTTGCAACACCTGGTTAGAGAAATGCTTGCACAAAGAAGAGGTCTGGTCATCTGTGATTAATTGCTTCAGGAGTCTCAGCCATTGTGGCTCATTGCTAGCTGTTCTCAACTATGCAAATAGTAGATGCATATACAGAACTATCATAGTCTAAAAACACTAAATAAATGCACAGTAGCTAGATGTTAATGTTTTTTTCTATAGATATCAGCATTTACAGTATTCAACTGTATCCACAAAAGTCCCTCCAGTCATACAGAGATTTGCTACAGCGAGTTTATGTGTCATTGTCAAAGGAAGTGGTCCGCAGCTAAGGATATCAGTACCTCAAAGTAAAAGTGAACTGTCAGAATATGGCAAACATAATGATGATAAAACCCAATCTTAATTGATTTGCAGCCCACAGATCGATAAGTATTGCATTTCAACATGTGCACTTTAGCACAGACTTTCTATTGCTGTAAGGTAGACTGTGCACTGTTCACATACAGTGGTGGTCTATGTGCTGTGGGCAAGCACATCATTGTTGCTAAGCAATACTGATAACGTCTATAGCTGAAGTGACCAACCAATCAAATAACCAGTTGGCTCAAGGCCAGTGTCAAGTCACTGCCCAAGTGGTGGGCATGACATGATACGAATGCAGACTGCTGCCACTGAGCTGAAATGTATAATGGTTATGAATAAAGTTTTTGCTCCAGCAAAGGTTCTTCAAAAACATTTTATTCATTGTCTGCCCGTATCTTTCATTTGTCTCTAAACCCATCCTCACCCCTAAAATGAAGCACATCTGAGACTGCAATTTAAAAAAAAAAATCCTAACATTAAGTCAGATATGATTTTCTCCACTACCCGAACTTCCCTAAGTTAATTCTGTCTCCTCTGAGAAGAGCAGTGATGAGAGAAGCGACTGAACGGAAATAGAATACAATATGCCCATACCTTCCCCTCTTATTTTAGCCTACCTTCTACCTCTGTGCCATTAGCACTCAGTCCTTATCTCCCTAGGATTTCGGCAGCTCACCACTGGCCGATATCACTCAGTCACAAAAAACAGGCTCTGACACATCCTCATTCATAAGTAGGATCAGGTCCGGAGAATACAGTGCAACCAAAGCAGTTTGATATGGTTTACCCAGTTTAAAATGCAGAGAAGATTCCTCTAAGATAACTGTGGTCCAGTTGTGCATCTTAACTCATTTTTAATCTACAAAGATCTTCAAGACAAAACTCACCAGTCAAATGTGGTATTCCCCTCGTGGGGTGGCCCATCCAATCAATAAGTGTTTGGGTTACAGTTCCTCAGAGCTGTGGTAACATA